TCTCTCTCTCTCTCTCTCTCTCTGTGTGTGTGTGTGTGTGTGTGTGTGTGTGTCTGGAAATGCAGATGTAGTTATCAGGAACGCAATGAGATGAAATGCAGCTTTATAACGACAATAGTATACGTTTGATACGCACTTATACGCAGATTTTTGAATTCTCAACTGTACGTATTTCTTTGTTTCATTGCTATGTAATTTATTTCATTTCACTTGCTCTTTCTGTCTTTCTCCCTCTCTCCCTATCTCTCTCTCTCTCTCTCTCTCTCTCTCTCTCTCTCTCTCTCTTTCTCTAATTATTTTTTAGCAAAGATCCCCTTGATTGTTGTTTTTTTCACACGCAAGTTATCCCTGTTCATCGATAACAATGATAATGGTGATAGTATGATGTTTCAACGATGCTGACTGTGGTTGTTACGCATAATGATAATGGATACTCAACAGTGGTGAAAAACACAAAAACAAACAAAACCTACCAAAAACAAAAGCGCAACCATTTATCGTCCTGTCTGCTAAAATGTCTGATTTATAACAACATCTGCACAGTTAATATTGTCACAATCACAAACTCATAAAACAATAAGCGTAGAAAGGGAGCTATCTTGACTCTCACCTGATCCATAACTTTTCATTCTGGAGGCTGTGTTGACAGCATCCCCAAAGAGACAGTACCGTGGCATGATGGTGCCGACAATGCCAGCCATGCAAGGACCTGGAAGAAAAGAAGAAAAAACCCGCATTATCACAAAAAAACGATATTGTATTTATGTTGTTGGACGAAAAGTAGACATGTGATATCATACGTTTGTCCGTACGTCGTGTTTTACAATCGTATCAGATGGGGATCAGATGGGTGGTGCCTGGGGTGTGTCAATGAGCAAAACACGACAATCCTAGCTCAAAATACTGGGCGCTGCACAGTGACGACCGACAGTGGCATGGTTGTAAACTGTTACGTATTTATAATTATGTATGTATGTATGTGTGTGTATGTTTGCACAGGTAAAACTAAGTGCCCTTCACGCACAAATAAAAGTGCAATTTATTTTTAAAAATTTTTATTATACGACGCGGGGAACTCTGTGCTACCACTTTCCAAAGAGGACATTTACTAGTTAATCTGAATCGTACGCTTTTTGTTTTGTTTTTGTAAAGTGTTTTACGGCGCTCGCAACTGCATAGGTCATATGAGCGCGCGGGACACTCCTAATATTTTCAGTTGGTAGGAAATTTTGAATTTTGCCCGGGTGGCGGCCGAAGCCTACTCTTATCGATTTTAGACCACCAAGGGATCTTTAACGTGCGCAACTTGCACACGGGCCCTCCGAGATTTTTCGCCCTTGTCCGAGAAGGCTAGGTGTAGATCTTTCCTACCAGAAGATCAGGGGTGTGGCAGAAAGACAGCAGTAAGGAGGAGCCAAGGAGTAGCAGTAGAAAGGCTGCAGAAAGAGTCAAGAGCCCTGAGGAGGGGGCAAAGGAGGTGAAGGGGTGGGGGCAGAAAGTGGAAATGAAAGCAGACAACAGAACATTGCTAGAGAGCAGGAAAGGAGGTGAAAGGAGACAATTTTAGAGAAGAAAACTTTTTGGTCGCTACCCGGAATCGAACCGGGACCTTTGAATGAGAGGCCAACACCTTAACCTCTAGGCCACAAGAGCCCCCTTCCGTACGCTTTGAATAGCAGTCTGTCAAAATGATTTTTTGAGAAATACTGCAAGTTTCAAAGAGATCTTCGTACTAGAAGTATTCTAAAATGTGAAGAATACAACCCGGGGGTACAAAATGACCCCAGGGCTTACGACATTTGAACAGTAAACCATAGTTTGGTCATTGTTTCTTAACAAACGTGTATCGTCTTTTTCTCTGCTCCACTTTTTGTGATTGTTACTCACTTGAAACACCTCTACTCATCAACTCGTATAAATGATGACTTTATTGTGTTGCAAGTTCCTTATAACTCTTACTTAAATCAAATATAATAGCATAGCAGATTATATCTACCCCCCTTCTTCCCATCTGCTCCCTCCAATCCTACACCAGCTCATCCCATCCCATCCAACAACATCATAGGCAATTCTGGGCATACAATAGTTGCTCACGCTGTCTCTATCCGGAGACGTCTCCAACGGAGATATGCCAATCAAAATGTCTTTGTGCTTCAAGACCAAGTAAACAATAAACCTGGGTTACATTTGATAGTTTGCAATTAAGTTTGACATTTTCTTGAAAATAATTGATTTGCAACAGTTTTAGTGGCTATATGTGTGATCTGCAGCGAATAATACCCAGTTTGACCACACAAGGTAGTGTATCTGTGTGCGGGAGTACGTCTCCGAATAGTTCCTGGCGGTGCTCGCAGGAGACGTCTCCGAATATCTTCTGCCGTTGCTCACAGCCTACCTGTGTTCATGCCAATCCGTAGCTGTATCATTCTGTCTAGAGGTGTAGAGAAACGGTTGTCTACCACCATGCTGAGGAGATCCAGGGCCAGGTTCGCTACTTCTGCCGAGTGTCTGTTTCCTATACGGGTTGGTAAACCTGTAGGGAATCAAAAATAGGTTTGTTGAAGTATAATGAGTAACGTTATTCCCGCATCCACTCCGGACATAGGGGATTGCCACGTTAGTGAGACAACTTTCTGGGCCTTCGGCATAATAATATAGTGGCGTCGGTGGCCTAGTGGTTAGGCTCTCGGACTCGCAACCGTAAGGTCGTGGGTTCGAATCCCGTCAGGGGTCCGAC